AGGTCCAACCATCTGCAGCTGAACACCTCCAAGACCAAGGAGATGGTGGTGGACTTCAGAAGGAAGAAACCACATATCCAACCAGTGTCCATCGAGGGGGTCGATGTGGAGGTGGTCAGGACATACAAATATCTGGGGCTGCAGCTGGATGACAAGCTGGACTGGACAGCAAATATAGACACTCTTCGCAGGAAAGGGCAGAGCCGTCTGTACTTCCTGAGAAGGCTGGGGTCCTTCAACATCTGTAAAAAAACAGTCTGTGGCCAGCGTCCTCTTTTATGCTGTAGTTTGCTTGGGAGGAAGCAGCAAGAAGAGAGACACCAGTCTCTGGTGACAGAGGCAGAAAGAAGGACCCTGGACAAACTGCTGTCCATACTGGACAACCCCCACCACCCTCTGCACAACACCTTCACCAGGCAGAGGAGTGTGTTCAGTGGCAGACTGCTGTCCCAATCCAGCTCCACCAACAGACTTAAAAACTCTTTCATCCCCCTGGCCATCAGACTGTACAACAGCTCTCAGTCAAGGCAGGGAGCACAATAGACAATAGGACAATTTCTACCTTCATTGGCACTGTTTAATTCCATTTGCACTCCATCTGTACTGTTTACTTCCATTTGCACTCCATTTGCACTGTTTACTGTTTTGCACTGTTTACTGTGGCTACTGTGTTATAAGTTAATTAGGGCCCGAGCAATGACCGTGCGAAGGCCCTATTGTAATTGAAGCATTTTTGGAGGCTGCAACATGCTCGAAAACTCATAAAATTTGACTCACATGTCAAAATTTCGAATTTTATAGGGCTCCACTATGAGCATGCCAAAATGGCCCCTCAGGGGCCCATAAACTGTGCCACCCAGGGGCCCCTTTCACCGGCACATGCGTAGATCTTATCCAGACAAACAAAAAATCCAGTGGGAGCCATATCCCAAACCCAACAGGAAGTCGGCCATTTTGGATTTAGCGGCCATTTCTGGCAATTTGCACATGTTGTATTTGAACAAACTCCTCCTAGGGAATTGATTGGATCGACTTCCGATTTTGACACAGCCATCTAAAGACATTTACGATTAAAAGTTGTGCTATTTACGTTATTCAGTCGAATGGCGTGCCCAAGGCGTGGCGTGGAATTTTAAAGATTCGCCATGAAAGAGGGATTTGTCATAACTTCTGCATACATGATCTGATCTCAATGAAACTTCACGTTTGATAAAAGTCCCGCCCTGAACACGTCTATATCATAATATTCAGTAAGAAGTGAGAGCGCCACTTAGTGGTGAAAAGAAATGTCATTTTTTATACTTCCATGTTCTACTCCTAGCAGGATGATCAGATCGAGCTGAAATTAGTCAGGAAATTGAAAACATGTTGTTGATGATATTTCATGATTGTGGTGAGTTTTTTGTTAAAGGGCGTGTCCGTGGCATGGCGTCAAACTTTGATTTACCGCCAGAACACAAAGTTGCTATAACCTGAGTGTACATTGTCCAATCGGTTCCAAACTTCACTTGTCTGATAAGAGTCCCACCCTGAACACATCTATGTGATAATATTCTTATATATATATATATATATATATATATATTATTCTTCTGCCAATGTAAACTTAGATATATATTTAGACTGTTTTACTGCTATCGATCTTCATCAGATAACTTCAATCATTTCTTCATCAAAGCCATCAACCTGTCTATTAGACCCGATCCCAACTAGGCTGCTTAAAGAAGTTGTTCCCTTAATTGGCACTTCTTTACTGGATATGATTATTATTATTATTAGATCTTAGTGCTGCATTTGACACCATTGACCATAATATTCTTTTACAGAGACTTGAGCATCAAATTGGCATTAAAGGAACCGCACTAAGCTGGTTTAAGTCATATTTATCAGATCGCTCGCAGTTTGTACATGTTAACGATGAATCTTCAATAAATACTACAGTTAGTCATGGAGTTCCACAAGGTTCTGTACTTGGACCAACACTATTTACTTTATATATGCTCCCTTTAGGCAACATTATTAGGAATCACTCCATTAACTTTCACTGTTATGCAGATGATACGCAGTTATATCTATCAATCAAGCCTGATGAAATTAATCAATTATCTAAATTACAAACATGTCTTAAGGACATAAAATCCTGGATGACCTGCAATTTTCTGATGTTAAACTCAGAAAAAAACGAAATTCTTGTTTTTGGCCCCAAAAACCTTAGAGACTCACTGTCTAAAGATATAGTTACTCTAGATTGCATTAACTTGGCCTCTAGCACCACTGTCAGGAATCTTGGAGTTATCTTTGATCAGGATTTATCATTTAACTCCCACATAAAGCAGACCTCTAGGACTGCCTTCTTTCATTTACGTAATATTAGAAAAATTAGACACATACTAGACAGATGCAGAAAAACTAATCCATGCATTTGTTACTTCAAGGCTGGATTACTGCAACTCTTTATTATCAGGTTGCCCCAATAAGTCCATTAAAACGCTCCAATTAATTCAGAGCGCTGCAGCAAGAGTACTGACAGGAACTAGAAAAAGAGACCACATCTCTCCTGTACTAGCTTCTTTGCATTGGCTCCCTGTAAAATTTAGAATAGAATTTAAAATCCTCCTCCTCACCTATAAACCTCTTCATGGTCAGGCCCCTTCATATCTTAAAGAGCTCATAGTACCCTATTACCCTACTAGAACACTACGTTCTCTGAATGCTGGGCTACTTGTGGTTCCTATAGTCTCTAAAAGCAGAACAAGAGCCAGAGCTTTCAGTTACCAAGCTCCTCTCCTGTGGAACCAGCTTCCAGTCGTGGTTTGGGAGGAAGACACCCTCACCACATTCAAGACTAGGCTTAAGACATTCCTCTTTGATAAAGCTTATAGTTAGGGTTGGCTCAGGTGAGTCCTGAACCATCCCTTAGTTATGCTGCTATAGGCCTAGACTACTGGGGGATTTCCCATGGTGCACTGAGCTCCTCTCTTCCTCTCTCTTTCTGCACTCATTCATGTCCCACTAATGCATGTTACTAACTTCACTTCTTCCCTGGAGTTCTTGTGCTTTTTTGTCTCACAGGTTCTCATGGATCCTGGTGGAGCCTCCTGACATGGTCCTGCTTGACTGCCATTGCCAATATCACTGATATAAGTGTTATTATTATTATAAGTATTATTATAGCTACGGTTACTGTTGTTGCTTTTGTCACTGCTCATTGTCCCCAATTGTTGCTGTTGTCATGTTCATCATCATCAGTCACTACTATTAGTGTAGTTGTTGCTACTGTTGTTGCTGTGCACCTGTCTGTCCTTCTGTCTCTCTGTCTCTCTTTTAACAGGCAGTTTTTCCTTGCCCCCGTCGCCAAGTGCTTGCTCATGGTGGTACTGTTGGGTCTCTGTAAATAATGTTATACGGAGTTCGGTCTAGACCTTCTCTATTTGAAAAGTGTCCTGAGATAACTTCTATTATGAATTGGTGCTATACAAATAAAATTGAATTGAATTGAATTGAATTGTATGGAACATTAAACACAAAATGTGCAGCAAACACGCAGGCACTGTTTCCGATTATTATACATATACAGTGAACAATAAGGCAGGTCCACAGTTGTGATCAGGAACCATCAACAGGTTTCAGGTCTTTCCAAACACTCTGACTCTCTGTGTGAACACTCAGCAACCAGGGCTTCCTCTCAGCAGCTATGTGACAGTTCCTGATGTGGAGGGAAGAATGGATTCCACTAAATAGCAGCAAATTCTGGAAGAAACATCACAGCGTTTGTAAAACAGCCGACAACCTCTGTAGTCTCATTTATATTTTTAACATATATATATTATAACAATGTTACTGTACTGCTTTTATGTCATATATAACATATATAAAACAATATATATAGTATAAAACAATGTTGTGTGAGGAGAAGGGTTATTTTTCTGTCTCTGAACACCTCCAGTTCTCTCTCTGATTGTTTGGATGATTATATTCATGATATTTTTCTACTCTTCATGACAGCAGCTGCCAGCTGAACCTTCCTCCTCCTACAGCCTCATTACTCAGCAGCCCTCTCACTGAGGACGTCCTGATTTCTCTCTGACATGAAGACATTTACACACTGAGGAAAACAGCTGTAGGATTGTAATAAACTCTTCTTTCAGTGATCAATCTGCTGATCAGTTTAATGATCAGTTAATAATCAGTGTCCTCAGATGTGTTGTTGAAACTGTGTTTTATATTTTATCGTTACATAAACCTGTTGTGAGGAGACAAGTGTCTCCTTCAAGCAGGTCTACCTGCAGCTGCCAGTTTATTCTCCATAATTTAAGTCACAACTTTCAAATCAATGATAAAATTTTCTTTTTTTTTTATCTCACAACCACAAATTATTATCACACAATTCTCATTAGGGTTAGGTCTCACATTCCAATACTTTCTATTGTGGAAATTCAGCATTGTAAATTATTTACGTTTTTATTTTATTTCTACATTTTCACTTTATTAAAAAAAACTGTCTACTACTGGATCACAACACAGCAGCAGGATGACTTCAGTGCCTGGGTGTAGACAGAGCTAACAGGTCGACAGGTCGACAGGTCCAGACAAAGAAAAAGTACAAAAATCCAACAAGGTGAAACAGGAACAAACAACCAAGATTAACTCAGACTGTCACAAACTGGGCCATACGGCCGTGACAAGAAGGAGGGAGACGCACACAAAGCCAATTAACAAATTATTTATTCAGGAAAGAATACTTAAACTAAACTAACAGTATTATGTGAAATCAGTAGGATCAGTGGTGTAAGTGAGTGCATGAGTGGAGAAGTGTAAGAGTGCTGTGTTGTAATAAGATGCAGTGAATGTGAATGTGTGAGTGTGAGAGAGTGAATGTGTCTATGTGAATGAGTGAATGTGGGTATAATGTCTAATAACCAGATCAGTAAAATTTAGAATAGAATTTAAAATCCTCCTCCTCACCTACAAAGCTCTTCATGATCAGAGGGCTGGATCAGGTGAGTCCTGAACCATCCCTTAGTTATGCTGCTATAGGCCTAGACTATTGGGGGATTTCCCATGGTGCACTGAGCTCCTCCCTTCCTCTCTCTTTCTGCACTCATTCATGTCCCATTAATGCATGTTACTAACTTCACTTCTTCCCCGGAGTTCTTGTGCTTTCTCGTCTCGCAGGTTCTTATCGATCCTGGTGGAGCCTCCTGCCATGGTCCTGCTAGATTGCCATTGCCAATACTGTTGTTGCTGTGCACCTGTCTGTCTGTCTGTCTGTCTGTCTCTCGCTCTCTCTCTCTCTCTCTCACCCCAACTGGTCGAGACAGACGACCACCCACCTAGAGCCGAAGGATCTGTCCTAGGTTTCTGCCTTTTAACAGGCAGTTTTTCCTTGCCCCCGTCGCCAAGGTCTTGCTCATGGTGGTACTGTTGGGTCTCTGTAATTAATGTTTTAAAGAGTTCGGTCTAGACCTGCTCTATTTGAAAAGTGTCCTGAGATAACTTCTGTTATGAATTGGCGCTATACAAATAAAATTGAATTGAAAAATTGAATTGAATCAGAAAAGTAGGCAGCTTGCGCATCTTTAGTAGTCTGGTTCAGATTAAACAGTAGTTCCCTCATGTAGAGGCGGTGGACTTCAAGTTTGTAAATTTCCAATTGTGCTCTACCTTCCTATATTCCCTTCTTTGTTGTCTAATGTTATCATTGATCCAGGGAGTTTTATTAATAACTGGGACAGCCCTGTATGTATATGGAGTGGAAAAATCAAGGGCTGATGTACACAAATTATTTAACCAGCTAAATTGATCATTAATGTTGAAAAAGTGAGGAGGAGAATTAGCCAGACCATAAAAATGGCTACAAAATGTGGCTGCTGACTGATTATTAAAGGTGTGAGAGTGGATTATACGTTTCTGGTATGGTGAAACAGTCATAAAATGTGTATCAAAAGTAATATATTTGTGGTCAGAGACAAAATCATGCATAGATAAATAGATAGATAGATAGATAGATAGATAGATAGATAGATAGATAGATAGACTTTATTGATCCCAAACTGGGAAATTGCAGTGTAGCAGCAGCATTACACACAGTAACAACACAATGAAGTAAAGAGAACAACCTAGACATATCAAAAAAGCAATATAAAAAATTATAAAATGTATAAATAAGCGGTATAATTGTAGTGCAAAGTAAAAATATAAGGTGCAGTGAACAGATTATGTAAAAACATATAAGGTGCTTCGAGACTGTATTGTTATGACCAGAGTCTTAGCTGTACAGCTAAAACTCTAGTTCATAATCAGGGAACTGAGAGACAGATCCAGAGTAAAAACTAAGTTGAGGGTGTGCCCACGGTTATGTGTAGGGCCTGAGACATGTTGCACAAGGTTAAAAGATTTACAAATTCAATTCAATTCAATTCAATTTTATTTGTATAGCGCCAATTCATAACAGAAGTTATCTCAGGACACTTTTCAAATAGAGCAGGTCTAGACCGAACTCTTTAACATTAATTACAGAGACCCAACAGTACCACCATGAGCAAGCACTTGGCGACAAGGGTAAGGAAAAACTGCCTGTTAAAAGGCAGAAACCTGGGACAGAACCTCCGGCTCTAGGTGGGTGGTCGTCTGTCTCGACCAGTTGGGGTGAGAGAGAGAGAGAGAGAGAGAGAGAGAGAGAGAGACAGACAGACAGACAGGTGCACAGCAACAACAGTAACAAATGTTTAAGAAGTCAGTGGCAAATGGATTTGAAGTTTTATCAATATGAATGTTAAAGTCACCAGCTATAATGGCCTTGTCAAATTTGAGTACGAGAGAGGACAGTAGCTCAGACAATTCAGTGAGGAAACCACTGTTGGAGTTGGAATTGGGGGGACAGTAAATTATTATAAAGCAGATGGGGTCTTCTCCCCCAGGCTTTAGCCAGGTTTCAGTAAGAAACAGGAAATCAAGGTTATGGTATGTAATCAGATCATTGAGAATTAAGGATTTATTAGCCATAGACTTTGCATTCAGAAGAGCACAGGCAACTGGGATAAGGGGCTTAGCTGGAGTGGAAATAACACAGTAAACTGTAACCAAATTATGAGATCTATTAGCAAAGAGACAGAGTGCATGGAGTAGTAGGTTTTAAATCTAGGCATAATGGCGTGTGCTGACGGAGAGGAGCATTGATATTGAGAGACGTAGCCGCAGAGACAACATTTTAATCTACAACCTTAGAGAAAATGCGGAGGGCCGACAGCCGGTTATGTTTTTTGAGAACTGGCTACCCACACTGCTGAGCCTGGAGACCAAGCGGGGTATCATTAAAATTGACCGTTCCCACAGGACCCTTGGCACGCCAAAGCCTGACTGGCCCCGCACAGTGATCATCAAGCTGCACGACCTGAGGGACAAGATGAGGATCCTCGCCATGGCCAAGGAGAAAGGACTGCTGACACATGAGGGACAGACCATATTCATCCAACAGGATCTGGCGAGCGGAGTCAAAGAAATGCGATGTTCGTTTAACGGTGTGTGCCAACAACTTATTAACATGAACATACGGTTCTCCATGCACTTCCCTGCTACTCTGAGTTTCTCCCACGGAGGGAAAAGTAACTCTTTTCACTCTTTCTGGGTGTTTGCTGGGAATTCTTCGTTTGGGGATGAATACTTTGTTTGTGATGTTCCGTCATTTTCATTTCTTTATGCGATCATATATTTGAAGCCTTCCATACTATATTTCACAGAGCTGTCCATTTGGCCATTTGTCTGTGGTAGAAACACTGAGCCCCTCTGCTGTGCCATAAAGCTTTCCGCTAGATCACACAGAAATTTATTTTTTATCATGATATGAGTCATTGTCGAACCTCTGACTGAAGAACAGTGTGGGTTTCGTCCTGGTCGTGGAACAACAGACCAACTTTTTACTCTCTCAGCTGTCCTGGAAGGGGCCTGGGAGTATGCCCATCTGGTCTACATGTGCTTTGTGGATTTGGAGATGCATATGACCGGGTTCCCCAGGATATCCTGTCTTATAAAGAGTTCGGTCTAGACCTGCTCTATTTGAAAAGTGTCCTGAGATAACTTCTGTTATGAATTGGCGCTATACAAATAAAATGTAATTTAATTTAATTTAATTGAATATCCTGTGGGAAGTGCTGCGGGAGTATGGGGTGAGGGGGCCACTTCTCAAAATATACATGTGTTAAGTGTATCATACAGGACGTGCTACGGTAAGCGTACTGACTCATTCCCAGTTTCCTTCCTGCTCTGTGTACACTGTTTGGTGCTGTAGCTCTGTCAGTGAACACTAAATCTAAATTTGTTTTACTCATTACAGCGGTTATTTTCCAGCTTAACGAGTAAACGTAGACTAGTTCTACCTAAGCACTCGGAGTTACTCCTTCTTTTAGCGACTTTTTCACTTTTTCGCTATTTTCAAAAGTTTTCACTGACGCTAGCTTCATTAGCATTAGCTATGGCTTCTCCCTCTCCCTCTCCTCTGTCCTGCTCAGTGTGTCAGATGTTCAGTTATTCCTCTGCCTCCTTTAATGATAATGGTTCTTGTATTAAGTGTAGTTTATTTACTGCGCTGGAGGTGAGGCTTAGTAAGTTAGAGGAACGGTACCGCACCACAGAGATATCTTTAGCCGCTATAGTTAGCCAGCCCCCAGTAGCCAGTGCGGTCCAACCGAAGGTAGCTTCTGTTAGCCGTCCTTCGGTAGATCCCGAGCAGCCGGGAAGACAGGGAGGCTGGGTGACTGAGCGAAGGAAGACTAAAACGCCGAAGCCCACAGTTCACCACCAACCCATTCATGTTTCTAATACATTGTCCCCACTCAGCGACACACCCGCTGAGGAACCAACTCTGGTTATTGGCAGCTCCATAGTCAGAAACGGGAAGTTGGCGAAGCCAGCGGCCATAGTTAAATGTATCCCTGGGGCCAGAGCGGGCGACACTGAATCAAATTTAAAACTGCTGGCTAAAGATAAACGTAAATACAGTAAGATTGTTATCCACGTCGGCGGTAACGACACCCGTTTACGCCAATCGGAGGTCACTAAGATTAATGTGGAGTCGGTGTGTAATTATGCTAAGACAATGTCGGACTCCGTAGTTTTCTCTGGACCCCTCCCCAATGTGACCAGTGATGACATGTATAGCCGCATGTCGTCATTCCACCGCTGGCTGTCGAGGTGGTGTCCAGAAAACGATGTGGGCTTCATTGATAACTGGAAGCCTTTTTGGGGAAAACCTGGTCTGATTAGGAGAGACGGCATCCATCCCACTTTGGATGGAGCGGCTCTCTTATCTAGAAATATGGCGAAGTTTATTTCTAAAACCTGACAGTCCAGAGTTGGGACCAGGAAGCAGAGCTGCTGTCTTACACACTTCTCTGCGCTTTCTTTAGAACAGTCACCCACCCAAAACCCCATAGAGACTGTGTCTGTCCCCCGACCACCTAAATTATTTAAAGAAACAAAAACAAGAGGAGTTAAACATAAAAACCTAATAAAAATTAAAACCAACTCCTTAGTAGCACAAAATAAGAGAATGAAATGTGGGCTGTTAAATATCAGGTCTCTGTCCTCTAAAGCTGTTTTAGTGAATTAATTAATATCAGATTATGATATTGATTTACTTTGTCTTACTGAGACCTGGTTGTCCCACGAGGAGTATGTTAGCCTAAATGAATCCACCCCCCCAGTCATATTAATACTCACATTCCTCGAGAAACTGGCCGAGGAGGTGGAGTAGCAGCCATATATGATTCGAGCGTTTTAATGGACCCTAAACCTAAACTAAATTATAATTCATTTGAAAGCCTTGTTCTTAGTCTTTCTCACCCAAACTGGAAAACACTGCAGCCAGTTCTATTTGTTATAGTGTCCCGCGCTCCTGGACCGTACTCTGATTTTATAACTGAATTCTCAGAGTTTTTATCAAGTTTAGTCCTTAAATCAGATAAAGTAATTATTGTAGGTGATTTTAATATTCATGTGGATGTTAACAATGACAGCCTCAGTAACACATTTATCTCATTAATAAACTCAATTGGCTTCTGTCAGAGTGTAAATAAACCAACTCATTGTTTTAATCACACTCTTGACCTTGTTCTATCATATGGCATTGATAATGAACATTTAATAGTCTTCCCACATAATCCTTTCCTATCTGACCATTATTTAATAACTTTTGAATTCATACTATTTGATTATAAGCCATTAGGAAAAACTTCCTACAGCAGATGTCTATCTGACAGTGCTGTAGCTAAATTTAAGGAGGAGATTCCTTCAGTGTTTAATTCAATGCCATGTCTGAATTTAACAGAGTCCTATAACAACTTTAGTCCCTCTGAAATTG